AGCAAAGAATCTTTATTTCGTATGTAGTAACGATATCCGTAATCGGTTTTGTGTACCGTGATTTCTCGTCGTAGGAACCATTTTCAAAATAGACATTTATATACCATTCGATAGCCCTTTGAAAGGGTTACATTTTCCACTATTTGTATTTGAATTAGGAGCAACTTCGATTTTTCACCTAATTTCTGCCTGGATGCCAACCGTGCGAGCCTGGCAAAAGTTTGTACTTTTCATATGTATTTCGATCATTGACAGGTACCTAGCAAACTAATCAAGTACTTGCATCAAGTACGTTCTCTAGGGTGTTGCTTCAGCTGAACTCGGTGGTTCGACATGCCGTTGATAGCACTCATCGACAACTGAAGACAATATACTGCCTAAAGTAAACAATATTTTTCTTCATTCACAAATGTCGATATATAGACTATTTTCTCTTTTCATAGTAAAAGAAACTTATTTTCTTTTCATTACACATCGAAAACCTTTTTATTTTATTAATGTGCGCTTTTCGAGAACTGATCCCTCTTCTTTCTTTTGTAAAACTAGTTTGGTCTTTGAAACACTGAAACTAAATTCAAGAATTTTTTCTGTTCTCAGTAAAAAACTCTGTTATTTGCTTCTACGAAACAAGTAAATACGTATTTTAAAACACGAAAAAATGTTTACTTCTACTATACACACGCTCTGTATTGTCTCATGTTCTCTTCAGAAATTTTGATTGAATTTCTTTCTTCCAGCTTGTATTATTTGAAAAATGGATGAAACTGAATTAAACACTGATGGGAATATTGAGCCTATGACTCCTCAATCTCCTTGGGAGATGCCATGGGAGGAGTTCATTACTCCTCCACCTCTACGGGCGAACATATTTTCGCGTTCTACATCAATCGAACCAACAAGGCTTGCTCCAAATAAGTCCAGTTTTGTTACGAAACAAGATATCAAATATTATTTGGATTGGTATTTATCATGTGAATGTGAACTGAATATAGATAATCCTCATTTTTATGCAAAAGATAATACAGAAATATTTGTAAAGGTGGTCAATAATAAAAAAAATGAATTAATAACAACAGACGTTCAACAAAATCTGTCGAATGCTGCCGACAGTGGCAAGTCAATACGCCAAAGACATTGACGAGGTCAAGGAAGTAAAATATCCACTATTTTCGATTGTTTTTACTAACCAAACATGTATGCGTTTAATGCTGTATGTCAATAGATAGGATTTGTCAACGCCTACAAAACTGTGTTTTCAGAATATTTTTTGACTATTACTGTAAAATTCGTAATCGCCTTAAATATGATAAATCGACTGTGGGTCTTTTCTCTTAGGAAACAGCCGAACTATTAGCTGCCCTCGTACAAGAAGTTGATATTAGACATCAAATGGAGCATTTATCAGATTTTCTGATGTTGGCAAAGGAGAATTATTCACATTTTAAAGACTTATATTTGTCAACAATTGAAGATTTGATGACAAGGCAGTTTTTCATTGGTGATCCACTTCGAATCAGGTTACATCAACATAATATTGAATAGACATGACCATTACACAGTGAGCATTTTTCTAATAGCAGGCGGACATCAGTATTTTTTCCCCATAAATCGTTTTTCCGTGAATAATTACCATTTCTCAATCGTCTCTGTTGCTTTTGAATGACAAATAAATGTTTTCAGAAAAGAATATTGTTTTCGAACATTCGGTCTTGCGGATCACGGGGGAAAAGGAGGGAGCCACTTTTCCTTGATTTTGCCCCACTGTTTTTTCAACTTAATTTGGCAAGCCACAAGGCATCACCAGACACGTCCGAGCTTTGTGCATCGGACTGGTGCAAGAAGCAAAGAATCATTATGGCTACCGCAAGCGCCAAGTGAAAACAAGTTGGAGCGAGAACAAGGTACCACCAAATGAAGACTAGCATCTAAACTAGATTTAATCTGGAGGGTGATAGTCCGAACACTTTCCTTGCCTTGTCTCCAATGCGAACGAACTCCAATGCCAAGAACTAGGACTGAACGAACACTATTTAGCTGTTTTTTTATTGTTTTTACCTTTTTCAGTGTTTTACCCTCCACCGAAAGGTAACGGGTCGATCTATCTATCTCACTTAATTTTGATTGGATTTTATAGAGAAAGAGATCTGACACATTTTTCAGTTTATGTGAGCCTTCATTACCAAACAGAGACTTTTCGAATTAACTTTTTTGAGGTGATGCATAAAGGATATCAGTGCTTAACAAAAACGAGTTTGTCCAAAATCTAATATGAAGTTACGGTAAAGCTTGATATTAGAAAAGTACCCAATGAAAAACGGAACAAAATGGTATATGAACCATAGTTACGTACCATATTATTAAGGAGAAATGGTTTATTTTCAAGCATCCCCTATCTAGTGATCATGCTTGAGTGGTCATGTTTTCCCATTTTCTCCCATAAGCAAGAGAGGATTCAACTACTCTTTAGTATAGGAAAAGAGCTCTTGGGAAACTGTACAATATTTTGCGTAAACAAATTCTATTGGCTCAATCCATTATAATTCAAGTACGAAAAAAATCAAGGAAGTTTGTTAAAAATTAGATAAATTCCATCTAAATTCATAGAAAAAATAGATTATTCCATCTAATATAGGTTTGTACTAGATTCTGGGATTTTTTCCAGGAAAACAAATATTGCCACCAGATTCAGCTTTGTTGATTATCTCTGTTTCATCTTATTTTCAGGCTATGAACAGTCGTTAGGCAGCAGTCATGACACTGTCGCGAAATCCGACGCCACACCTAAACCCAAGAGGGAAAATACGACGTTTTTCTTTCTTAGCATCGGATGGTGAGCATCTCAAGCTTCAAGAAACATTTCAACGGCTCCGGAAAGCTCCCGGAGCCGCCTTTCCTCCTTCGCTAAACCGTTTACAATGAAAGTCTCACATAACTCCCATGTTGAAGACCATATTTTGGACTATTCGTCCATGTAAAAAATGAATCTGTTTCTACCTGAATCCTTGAAGAAATAGACTATTTTTCCAGAGATCTTCCAGAAATCCTACTCTCGAAGAAGACCTTTAAAATTTTCTCTGTTAAGAACAGACGTGATCAAGTGTGCTTTTCGAATAGTGAAAGTTCGAACTCTCTAGTTCTTTTCGTTCTCGACTTATTCGGAACGAGAACACTGCTTTTTTTCAATAATACTTCTAACTAAACATGTAAAATGCTTCCTTGACAAAGTCTGTTAGAGCAAGGAAAAATTAAACAATGAAGTTTACTCACATTTTTTACATTTTTATTTTAGCGAATTTAACAACCGCTGCGGTCTGTAGTGTTACAACCTGTATCAACTCGATAACGCTATTTCATGAGAAAGAAGTTACTTATTGGTCATTTGATAGTACAACGATTGATTTAAATTTATTATACAGTGGTCTAGCATTCAACTCACCAACGTATTCAGGCAGCCAAACATTTTCCGGACAGTGCATTCAATTTGATAATACCGCTACTCAATATGTCAGCGTGCCATTCATCGATCTCACTTATCGAAGTTTCACAATTCCAGCTTGGATTTTTATTGATTAGTCGTTTAGGACACTAGTCACTTCTGGACACCTATGGGTAGCGTAGCACACCCACTTCGCGATGAGTCGGTTTAGACGTACTTAGTAGATGGTCATATCCGCGAAGTATCACTGGTGAGCAGGCATTATTTGGGCAGTGTGCATCCTCATCAGTAGCTGATCAGTGTCTTTCACTAAATATCAGAAATGGGCATTTACACATGAGTTTTAATCTTGATAATGAAATATTTGCTTCTTCCGTACTGAGTACAGAAAACTGGCATCACGTTACTTTTGTCTACGATTACTCTGTCCTGCAACAATTGATTTATTATAATGGCGTTCTCGATGCATCATCGGCTTCTCTCGGTTCTTCCGGTCCCTACATTGGAAGTACAGGGAGCTTTACGATTGGTTACACTAACTATTCAAACACCTACTATTATGGTTCGATAGATAATCTGATTATTAGTAATTACGCAAAATCAGCTTGTCAAATTTTGAATGATGCCAACCCTTTCTGCTCACTATCCGCTTGACTCGACGACTCACCCTTGCCTTGGCTATGGTCAATACTTTCTTAATGGTTTTGCGTCACAAACATCAAGTGTAACTAGTCGGGTAAACCAAGCAATTTCGTTCAGTTTGAATAGTGCTTATTTTCTAGCCCAAGTCTTCAGTATGCATAATTCAAATCCACCATTTACAGTCGTGCTTTGGGTGAGTATAACAAATATCACTAGTGGAACAATAATACACATATCTCAACAGTCAACTGATGCTTCTGTACTTTGTTTTGATCTGCTCGTTCTAACTTCGAGCGAAACTCTTGTTGCACAAACGTATAATAACAATTTCGGAGCAAATAACATAACGACAATTCAGTCCTCAATTTTGAAACGGAATTCATGGACGCATATAACACTCTCCTATTCTCAACCAAATGGCATGAGATTGTGTTTGAATGGGGTATTAAACGCCTTTACAACTGGCAGTCTGTCAATGACTCACGAGGGAATATATCCAACTGTCAAATCACTTTCGAGCCGAAACCTAGTGGACTATAGGTAGTCGATCATGCTGATTCCGAATGTGATAGCCGTTTTTCCCCATAGACCTTTCCTAACCGGTTTCTGAAAAACTAGTTAGAACCTAAATTCATCTTCCTTCTTCTTTCTGTAGCTCTGAGGTGACAATAAACATTTAGGGCTTTTCTTGTGAATTCTATAACTTTGCAAAGAAAGGTCATGTAGAGCTGGGAGATGTCTCATTTTAATCAGAATTTCGCG